AGGATCTGGAAAAGTTTCTAGGCTCCAGGAAATGCATCCCCGCCACAGGTGGCAGAAGGCGGCAGCCAGGCCTCCCGTGGCAGCTTTGCAGAGCTGGCAGCTGTGCCCGCTGTTCCACAGGTGGAAGCCAGACCCTGGGAGCCAACCGGTGCCAAGCCAGCATCAGTTGCTGGGACACGTGTGTGGCACTTGGACAGCTCTGCCCAGCGAGGCCTGTGTGTCTCTTCCTTGCAGGGAAGGTGTGTCATATCAGGGTCTGGGGTCACCACAGGCCCGTGCCCAGTGTTCCATCCCTCTGGGCTGGCCCCCATCGTGCCCATGTCCAGTGTGTGGCCCCGATAGTCAGCCTCGTTGATGTTGCCTTCCAGGAGGGAGGTCGGCCTTGGTGCCCATGGCCCAGGGCTTGGGTGTGTGGCTCTGGGTGTGTGTGTAAGGGACTCCACACATAAGCTAAGGTCAGGCCCTCCGGAGGCTCCGGAAGACTTTGAGGCCCTGCCCGGAGCTCTCTCCAAACCCAGGTGGGGCAAACGCTTCCAGGTCAAATACCAAAATTCCCGTCCCCAGGACATGGGCCTTAGGCAGTAAAGGCAGAGGCAGGGTAGAAAGGAGTGCAAAGACATACGTGAACACCCGTGACCTGCACAGACACGCCCACGCACAAGTACACACACACACAAAAACACCCGTGACCTGCAGACACGTGCCACACACATGTACATGCACACACAAACACCCATGACCTGCAGAGACCCACACGCACATGTACATGCACACGTGTGTCAGGGAGCACAGCTGGGGCCAGGCAACCGTTCTGGATATTTGGGGGGGCTGCAGTTTATGTTTATTTGGTTTTTCCATCTGTCTTCTTTACAGTGAGTCTATTACTTGTAATAATTTAAAGAAAGTTTCAAAATGAAATTGCCTAAAATAAGGACAGTGGCGGAGCAGGTGGGAGGGTGGCCTCCTGCACACGCACAGCTGCTCAGGATAGAGCCTCCTGGAGGTGAGGGAAAGTGAAGCCACAGGGAGCTTCTCTGGGCTTTGGGGAATCCGAAGCTGTTTTCTGGCCCCATGGGGCACAGACACAGTCAGAGTGGCCACACAGGCAAGGCACGGATGTGATCAGTGGGGCCTTGGGGGTGGAGCATGGACGTGGTCAGTGGAAGTGGGCCTTGGGGGTGAGATGCGGGTGTGTTCAGTGGATGTGGGCCTTGGGGTGAGGTGTGAGTGTGGTCAGTGGACGTGGGCCTTGGGGGTGAGGCATGGACGTGGTCAGTGGACGTGGCCTTGGGGGTGAGGTGTGGGTGTGGTCAGTGGACGTGGGCCTTGGGGGTGAGGCATGGATGTGGTCAGTGGATGTGGGCCATGAGGGTGAGCTGTGGGTGTGGTCATGGGCCACACGTGTGAAGTAGGGACATGGTCAGTGGGGCCTTGGGGGTGAGCTGTGGGTGTGGTCAGTGGAGCCACATGGTGAGGCGTGGACATGGTCAGTGCACAGGGGCCTTGGCGTGCGCTCCTGGAGTTAGGGGGCTTCAGTGGGACCCCACTTACTTTCACAGCTGGAGCCTGGGCACTGAAAGGTGAGCGCCCTGCCCAAGACTTTGAGTGGCTGGGTGGGCAGAGCCTGGTCTCCAGAGGGTGCGCTCTGCCCTCCTGCCGGCCCCTCTCTGTCTCTGCCCACTGCCGACCCTTCTTTTCTTACCTCTCCTCCACTGGGAGGCTGTAAGCAGTGGGGCCCTGCTTCTGCTCAGCCCGTCTGCTACCACTCGTGGATCCTGTGGCTGCCCGTCCATCTCTCAGCCTTGCCCACCTCCGTCTCTGAGGCCAGATCCTCAGTCAGAGCCATCATCCCGGCTCTGCACAGCCCCAGCAGTGCCCGATGCCCTCTGCCTCCAGATTGGCATCTTCATGAGCCACGTCCTTGTCTCCAGCTCTGCTCTACAACCTGCCATGGCTCCCTGTGGCCCAGAGCAACTGTTCTCGTGGGGCCACGGGGCCCTCTCACAGCTGTGGAAGTCATTCGGCTCACAGTGGGAGCTCCGAAACAAGGGAACTCACGGAGATGGAGAGAATGATGGTGGCCAGAGGCCAGGAAGGGGAGTAGGGGTGGGGGTGCTTGGCTGCACGGACTGCAGTGGAACCTGTGGAATATGTGGGTCCCACGCAGCAGTGTCTCTGCCTACAGCTCTTCCAATGTGAGTCAGCCTCTGCCGTATCTGGTCCTGCCAGAACCCGTGAGCTGATACGCCAGGGTGACCACGTCCGAGGGTCAGGAGACTCCTGCTTATCCACATCTCCAGCAGCCCCTGCATGCCTACCACGGGCCAGGTATCCCACAAGAATCAGAATGGCCTTGCCACGTGGTGCCACTGCTTCCAAGCTAGCTTCCTGCTCCAGCCTCCCACAGCTGACGTAGAACCCTCTGGAGGCTCCCGAGCTCCCTCCATCTAGATTCCATACCGCTTAACCCCAGCACCTCCTGGTTTGATTCCTGCACCCACACAGCTGCCCACCCATCGCACGTTCGGGCCCCAGCTCCAGCAGAGCACACGCTGCCCTCAGCAAGCCTCACTGCAGTGAGCTGCGACTGTGCCACTGCACCTCAGGCCTTGCAGCCTCCACGCCTTTGTCCACGCCGCCCCCTCTCTGAGGACACTGCTCCTCCCATCACCGCAGGTCCAAAGCCTGCTCCTCTTTCAAGAGCCAACTCAAACGTGGCTTTTCCCATAAAGCGTTCCTGAGCCCCCCAGTTGGACTGAGATCATCTTAAACTCTTCCCACTTTGCGATACAGACGTTTTACAACAGTGATGATGACTCTTTATTGAGACCACCCTGGCCAACATGGTGAAACCCCGTCTCTGCTAAAAATACAAAAATTAGCTGGGTGTGGTGGCGGACACCTGTAGTCCCAGCTACCCGGGAGGCTGAGGCAGGAGAATCGCTTGAACCTGGAAGGTGGAGGTTGCAGTGAGCCGAGATCACACCACTGCACTCCATCTTGAGTGACAGAGTGAGACTCCACCTCAAACATAAATAAATATTTACCGAAACTTTTCTCCAGTCCAGGAACTGTCCTGGGACTGTTAGCTGAAACATCTTATTTAATTCTTTTTGAGATAGGGTCTCACTCTGTCACCCAGGCTGGAGTGCAGCGGAGCAAACACAGCTCACCGCAGCCTCCGCCCCCACCAGGCTCAAGTGACCCTCCCACCTCAGCCTCCTGAGTAGCCTCCTGGGACTACAGGCTCACACCATCCTGCCTGGCTAATTTTTTTTGTATTTTTTGTAGGGATCTCATGATGTTGGTCAGGCTGGTCTCAAACTCCTGGGCTCAAGTGATCTGCCCACCTTAGCCTCTCAAAGTGCTGGGATCACAGGCATGAGCCATCACGCCCAGCCCGTGTTTCATTTTTATAACATCCATTGGCTCTGGCCCTCTTATCTTCAGGTGGGGAACTGAGGCTCAGAGAGATTGGTTTCCTGGGGTCACAAAGCTACTAATTGGCTGAGGCCGTGTATTCCTTCTCTATGGCTGTCCTCAAATTACCCCAAAACTTAGTGGCTTAGAACAATGCAGATTTGTTATCTCCTGACTTCTGTAGGTCTGGATTCCAGAACAACTGTGACGGGTGGCCGTGGCTCAGGGACTCTGCCACGGGGCCGTGGCCTGCAGAGCAGCTGTGATGGGTGGCCGTGGCTCAGGGTCTCTGCCATAGTGCCGTGGCCTGCAGAGCAGCTGTGATGGGTGGCCGTGGCTCAGGGTCTCTGCCACAGTGCCGTGGCTCAGGGTCTCTGCCACGGGGGCATGGCCTGCAGAGCAGCTATGATGGGTGGCCGTGGCTCAGGGTCTCTGCCACGGGGCCGTGGCCTGCAGAGCAGCTGTGACGGGTGGCCATGGCTCAGGGTCTCTGCCACGGGGCCGTGGCCTGCAGAGCAGCTGTGACGGGTGGCCGTGGCTCAGGGTCTCTGCCACGGGGCCGTGGCCTGCAGAGCAGCTGTGACGGGTGGCCGTGGCTCAGGGTCTCTGCCACGGGGCTGTGGTCTGCAGAGCAGCTGTGACGGGTGGCCGTGGCTCAGGGTCTCTGCCATGGGCTGTGGTCTGCAGAGCAGCTGTGATGGGTGGCCGTGGCTCAGGGACTCTGCCACAGTGCCGTGGCCTGCAGAGCAGCTGTGATGGGTGGCCGTGGCTCAGGGTCTCTGCCACGGGGCCGTGGCCTGCAGAGCAGCTGTGACGGGTGGCCGTGGCTCAGGGTCTCTGCCACGGGGCCGTGGCCTGCAGAGCAGCTGTGACGGGTGGCCGTGGCTCAGGGTCTCTGCCACGGGGCCGTGGCCTGCAGAGCAGCTGTGACGGGTGGCCGTGGCTCAGGGTCTCTGCCACGGGGCCGTGGCCTGCAGAGCAGCTGTGACGGGTGGCCGTGGCTCAGGGTCTCTGCCACGGGGCCGTGGCCTGCAGAGCAGCTATGATGGGTGGCCGTGGCTCAGGGTCTCTGCCACAGTGCCATGGCTCAGGGTCTCTGCCATGGGGCCATGGCCTGCAGAGCAGCTGTGCTGGGTGGCGGTGGCTCAGGGTCTCTGCCACAGTGCCATGGCCTGCAGCCTCACTTGAGTGACCTCCCTGAGTGTGTGATACAAGAGGCGGCAAGGAGGGAGCTGAGCTGCCCACCCCCAGTCACACACAGCCACCCCCTCGGCCTTCAGTTGCCGACACAGGGCCACCCCATTCAGTGTGGGACAGACACCAGGAGGCAGGGTCCTCTGGGGCCATCCTGCAAGCCAGCAGCCACAGGCAGGTTCAGCCTAGACTTGCCTGGCCCCATCGTGGGGCCCTGGTCCTCCTCCTCAAGTGGCCGCCAATGAGCAAATCCCACCTGGGTGCTTCCAGGGGGATCCCGTCCTACCGTCACCATCACCCAGGGTTAGCCCCCCGCCAGAGCATGCAGCAGGAGGACCAGGTGCTCGCAGTTCACAGAAGCACCTTTGTGAGCAAACATGGCCAGCCAGATTGTGCTTTGCTTTAATCAAGTGAGAAGGTGTGACCCCAATGCCACCTGCAGTTCCAGCTCATTAAGCCGGAGGTATGAATGGAACCAGAAGGGGGGTCGTGATTCCCCCCGGCCTCTGCCACTTTCCAGGGGTATCCACCTGGGAGGATCTCCTCAGGGAAAAGCTGGGGTGGATGGGGCACCTCAGGCAGGCTGAGCAATGCCCACATTGTCAGCATGGAGGGGTGGCCGGCTCCTGGAACCCGCGCCTCTTCAGGGGCTGTAGCGGGCGGACGCTGTCTGCTGATCAGAGAAACATGCATTCCCTGAGCATCTGCTCGGAGGCCTTTGCTTGAGGAGCTGGCGATGGAGATGCTAGAATGAAGAGCGGGAAAGAGTAGCAGTTACTGTCCACCAACAGCTCAGTGCCTGGCTCCCGACTCCTCCCCGCACCCCGAGGTGGGAGTGCTTACTACCCCCTCATGCTTGCAGGGGAGGGCATCCGGGAGGAGGCGCACAGGCAGTGCTGCGCTGGAAGCAGGAGCGGGCTGAGCAGTCAGGGCCAGGACACACAGCATCTCACCCATTTGGGGGTGACCCACCCAAGACCCCTCCCCAGGGCACCTCTCACCTGAGGGTCAGATCCCCAGCTCACAGAACAGGCAAGAGGGGCCTCAGAGCACCCCCAGAGCAGCGAGTCCCTGCTTTCCTGGGACACAGACCTCCCTAGCTCAGAGCCCTTTCATGTGGGGGCCAGCTTCCAGCCAAGCCAAGGCCCGGAGGCCCCAGGCCCTGGAGCGCACAGGCTGCCGTGGGCAGTCCACAGGCTGCGGGAAGCCAGGCAGGCGCTCTATTCGGAGGCAGCTGCACCCCCTCCACACCGTCCTGCAGACCTTCTTTCCGTAGAGTTGGGGATCCCAGTGAGCAGATAATGTCGTGTTCTGATGTGTGAATTTCAGGTTCTCACTCATCATTAGACTGCCGCGCACAGTTCCCACGTTGCTGTTTGGCGTCACCGTTAACGGCCGCAGAACCTCTCAAGATCCGGCCCTCTCCTAAGGCACTAAGCCCGCAGCAGGTATCCGGGTTGTTTCCTGACTTGCGTCTGCCGCAAACCCCCAGCGTAAGCATCCTCGAGGATCCAGCCTAGCGGCAAACCCCCAGCGTAAGCATCCTCGAGGATCCAGCCTAGCGGCAAACCCCCAGCGTAAGCATCCTCGAGGATCCAGCCTAGCCGCAAACCCCCAGTGTGAGCATCCTCGAGGATCCAGCCTAGTGGCAAACCCCCAGCGTGAGCATCCTCGAGGATCCAGCCTAGTGGCAAACCCCCAGCGTAAGCATCCTCGAGGATCCAGCCTAGCGGCAAACCCCCAGCGTAAGCATCCTCGAGGATCCAGCCTTGCAGTTCACTCGTTCCTCAGGAAGCCGTTGGTCTGGTGTTGTGCGGAAGTTTGGTTCTCAGCACAGGGAGGTGTCTTTGTTCATTGGGTCTCACGGCGATGCAGAGAGGCACATCTGGGGGAGGGGGCGGGGGGACAGACACCAAATTCTGGGTTCAAATGCCAGCTCGGCCACTTTCTAGGTATGCCAGCATGGACATGTGACATAACGTCTCAGTTTCCTTGTTTGTAAAACGGCACCGTGATCCTTTGCCCGACAGTCGCTGGGCTCACTGCCCTCCATGCCCGGCTCTAGTGCACCACACAGAGGGGCCCTGGTGTTGGCGTCTGAAGACCTGGCTGTGCACCTTCTGGAAGGGGACTTCCAGGAATCCTCTCAGTTTAAGGAACAGGGCAAGAATCCAGCTGAGAGGAGCCGAGCTCACGTGTCACCTGAAGTGTTTCCTTTCCTCTTCCCCCTTTGAAAACTATTCCATAGTGTGGTTTAACTTTTATTCTTATCTGTTATGTATCCACACAGTTTAAAGAACTACCCTTCCCTTTCCTGCTCACCAGAGGTGCACCCTCGTTCTGAATCTCCGTGTTTACGCCATGGGGATCCCTGGAGGTCTGCATGGCCTCCTGCCAGGCCCGCCCAGGCCACGCCCCACACCTTCCACCCCACGTCCCTCCCGTAGTCCACGGTAAATTGTGTTCGATCAGTGGCAGTTTTGCGTGCTGACGGCTACACTACAGATGTTGTTCTAGCACTTTGTAAATGGTGCCTCCTAGAGCAGCAGGGTCACGTGGGAAACATTCTCCTGTGTTCCCAGCATTTAGTCTCTGTTTCCTGATTAGTTTTCTAAGTATTTGTCATCTATCCCTAACTCTGCTTTCACTGTTCAAATCTCCTCTCAACATGGTAAACACACAGGACTCTGTCCACTGTCTTTCTGGGGGTGGCCTGCCCCTGCCTGCCAGGCCAGGATTCCCAGGAGTCATAGGAAACAAGGCTGGAGGGGAAGAGGGTGGGGCTCGGGGGCCTGGTGGCCACAGCCAGGGCTTCAGCAGGGCCCCCTGTGGGTTCTGAGCAGGATCCGACTCAGCTTTGATGGGGCAGCTCCAGCCACTGGGTTGGGCCTCTAAGGAATCCAGGTGAGAACAAGGCCCTCCTGGTCTGGGTGGCCACAGCAGAGCTGGCAGGACAGTCGGCTTCTGTGAGAATTTGCAGAAGTCAGTTGGACCAGAGCTGGGATGGGAGGAAGGAGGGAGCCATCGATTGGCCCCAGGATGGAGGGTGAGGTGTGAAGTGAGAGGGTAGGGGACAGACCTGAGCTTCTGTGGGGCCACATTGGGGTCTGATGTCTCTTGGGTGTTCCGGTGAGATGCCAGGCGGGGCTCTGGCCCATCCCTGCCCCGGAGCTCTGAACTGTGTCCACGTGGTCTGCTTGGTCGGTGTGGCCGCTTTCATTCCCTGTGCTGGGTGCTCTGTGGCCCCTCGTTCCGTTAACGTCATGAATTTACCCACAGCTGCTTCCCTGGGTTTCCTCTGCTCTCCTGCCTGAAACCACCACATTTCGCACACTGGATGCCTGACCCAGCCTACGGACTTTTTAAATCTTTCCTCACGTTTTTCATCTCTTGGTCTTTCTGATCTTTTTCTGGGAGATGGCCTTTAGCTTTTCCTTAGGGTTTTTACCCAAGCTCTTGTATTCTGACCCTCCCAGCACCCCTTTGTGTTACTGGAGTGCTCTTTCTCGGGGCGCCTGGTCCTGGACTCATGGGAGCTGTCGCGTCCCTTGTTACCCTTAAGGGTGTTAACGGGGTAGTTTGGAGTCTCTTCCCTCTGCACAGCCTGGCTGCCTGCGGCTGTTCTGCTGGTTGGTTTAGACTACGCCTCTCTGGCTAGAGGCTGTCCTCCAACATCTGGTCATTCCTGACTGCTCCTGCTGCCCACCTGCCGCTAGGATGCTACCAGAGCCAAGGCATGGATGGGACCCCTGCTGACTGGAGGACTGGCCATTTCTCAGAGACTGCACCGTCCCCCCATGGCCACCTTCACAGAGCCATGGCCAAGGACTGCAGAAGCCGTCACCCTGACCCATGTCCTGTCTGCAGGTGTGTGACCCCGACTGAGCTCAACCTCCCAGGAAACCAGAAATGGCTGCAGGGACAGAAATTTGCTCACACACGTCCTCGGGCCGAAGGTGGCATAATCCCGACGTTAGACGCCCTCCTCACTCTTCCTCCTGCCCCTTCCCCTCACGAGTCCCCTGGCTGGAAACACCATTCAGCCTGCTGAGCCCTGGAAGGAGATGGAACTCTGACCCCACATCAAGCCTGTCCCAGCAGCAGAGGCCTGGACTCTCCTTTTCTGTATAATACCTAGCAGGGTGGCAAGCAGGGCACGAGAAGTTTGGGTTTTCCCCTCGTGCTCTTCTTATAAACGTCCCCCAGATCCAGCTCCATCCTCCCAGGAAAACCAGCCTCAGGCTCCTGAAGTGCCCGTTCCTGAGCACTCCAAGAACGTAGCTGCTGCCCTAATAATCACCAGCAGAAAGGAAGATGGGCCTGGAAAATAACACACTCACAACAGAACCTGCGCAAGACTCTGCTGATATTTACCCGGCAGAGTAAATCGCTCTGTCCCCGAGGCCGGAGTGTAACGGTGCAATCTCGCTCGCTGCAACCTCCACCTCCTGGGTTCAAGCGATTCTCCTGCTTCAGCCTCCCGAGTAGCTGGGATTACAGGCGCCCAAACAATTTTTTGTTTGTTTGTATTTTTAGTGGAGACGGGGTTTCACCATGTTGGTCAGGCTGGTCTCGAACTCCCGACCTCGTGATCCGCCCGCCTCAGCCTCCCACAGTGCTGGGGTCACAAGCGTGAGCCGCCGCGCCAGGCCGAACCCCGTCCTTTTAAAATCACCGAGGAAAGACAAACACTGGCGCGCGCTTGTAGTCCCAGCCACTCCGGAGGCTGAGGCAGGAGAATCGCTTGAACCCGGGCGGCGGAGGCTGCAGCGAGCGGAGGTGGCGCCATCGCACCCAGGCTCGGGCGACAGAGCGAGGCCGCATCTCAGCAGATAAATAACATCAGCCGGGAGCTCAGACCGCGGCCCCCAACCCCAGGGAGCCCCTTCTGGGAGGAGAGGGCGAGGCCCGGCAACGCGCGTTCGGAGCGGTCCCACGCGCCGTTCTGACCCGGGCAGCCCTGAGGTAGCGCCCGGGGACCACGACGCCTGCCTCCGCCACAGCTCGCGAGATGCCCGCGGCCTCGACCCAGCCGCGACGGGACAGGAGGGACCGGAGGGGGAACGCGCGCGCCCGGAACCCGCCACCGCCGCGCCGGGGGGACGCGCTTGCGCAACGGACGCGCCGCGCCGGGGAAGCTGTTGGGAGCCGGAAGCGGTTCCGGTCGGACCCCGGCGCGCGCGCGCGCCCGGCGGCGAAGAGAACGCACTCGGGCGAGGCAGATCCCGCGGCCCGGCCGCGCGGCCGTCTCGTAGGTGCGGGCGGCAGAGCCCACGGGACCGCGGCGGGCCGGCGGGGCGCAGAGCTCTCGGGAGCGCGGTTCCGGCGCCCGTCCCTGGCCGCCCCTGGGCTGGAGCCCTGGCGCGGCCGCTTCCCGGCGATCCGCCTGGGGCCGGGCGTCGGCCTTCCCGGTCCCCGAGCCTCTGGCGCCCCGTGGGGAGCGGGGGACGGGCCCGGTGAGACAGTCGAGCCGGCGGGGTCCGCGTTCAGGCGTCCTCAGAGCGAGTCGTGTCGGGCCGTGTCCAGAATAGAGTCACTTCCGCTTCTCATTGGGCCTGCGGAAGTCACCCCCGCGGTCCTCCCCGCCCCCGTGGTTGCTGCGTGCACCTGGCCGCGCGTGGGGTACGGGTTCAGGGCCGGCCTAGCTCCCGCGCAGACGGCGGCCACGTGCGCGGAAAGTGTTGAGAAGGCGCCGCAGGCCGCCCATTCCCTGGAGAGAGGGAGGCTTCAAAAGGGCGAGGCCCTCTGCGGTCGGGAGTTGATGTTGGTCCTGAGTCCAAATTCCACGAGGCAGGCCGGGTGCAGTGGCTCGTGCTGGGAGTCCCAGCACTTTGGGCGGCAGAGGGAGGAGGATCACTTCTGGTCAGGAGTTCAAGACCAGCCTGGGCAGCAGAGTGAGAGCCCTGTCTCTCCAAAAACAATGCAAAAATTAGCTGGGTGTGGCGGCGTCCACCTGCGGTTCCAGCTCTTCAGGAGGCCGAGGCGGGAGGATCGCTTGAGCCCAGGAATCCGAGGCTGCCATGGTCCATGACAGCACCATTGCACCCCAGCCTGGGCGCCAGAGCAAGACACTGCCTCAATAAATAAATAAATTGGAAAAATAAGAGGTCATTTGGAAGAATGATTAGGAATTTGCCAAAAAGGGAACGAGTTTAGAGATGGGAACACAAACTGTGTTTGGGGCGTCATGTTGCTTTCTCAGCCTGGGAGGGGTTCACATGCTGGACCCAGGAGCACAGGTGTCACTGGCAGCGGACCATGGGCACCCGGGGAGCTTTGTAGCAAAGGAGTGACCTGATCGTAGTGTGACGCGTGGCCTCGGCTACTGCTCCTTCCACAGGTGTTGGGGACATAAGATGAGGCTTCCCTTGCTCTGGCCCCTTTGGCTGTGAACCTTCTCAAGGCGGACAGAAACAGCGAGTGAAACTGCTTGGAGAGCTGTAAGCGCCGCCTTTCCAGGTGGCATTTTTAAAATAGTATTTTTCTTCCTGAAGTGTATGTGGGTTTCAAGTACGTTTTTCCCTGTTGGTTTTCTTGATTTGAGTGAACTGCTCATGAATGTCTGTTACTTAAAAGTGCAGTTTTGAAAACAGCCCCCAAAGCACAGGTGTCATGCTGGAACGCACCCCGCCCCGCTGGCCCAGCACGGCCCTCTTCTGCCCTACAGCCCCATCAGGGCAGCAGACAGGAGGAAGCGCTGGCGTGCACTTCAAACACAAGGTCTGGGTCAGGCGTGGGGTGGGCGGGTCACGCGTGGGGTGGGCGGGTCACGCGTGGGGTGGGCGGGTCACGCGTGGGGTGAGCAGGTCAGGTGCCCTTTACTCATTTTGAAACAGCCCGTCATTCGAGTGTTGTTCTGGTCAAGGGATTTTTGTTGTGAGGTTCTGTGGGGAGCAGCACGCTGCCCAGCATGGCAGCCGTTTGTCTTCTGCCTGGCCTGTGCCGAAGCGTTTGTTTATTCTCATGTGACCCTGTGAGGCAGGTCTCATGACTGTACCATCTTACTGGTGGGGAGCAAAGGGCTAAACCAGTGAGAAAACTGGGACAAAGGGAGCCGCCATTCAAGTCGAATCTGTGGTGACTCTAAGCTCTTCTGCGAGCCTGTACCCTACTCTGAGCTCTGGACCGGGAGGTGTTCAGGAAGACCATGCATGGCCGTCTGCCCTGAGCAGAGTCTGTGACTCTAAGCTCTTCTGCGAGCCTGTACCCTACTCTGAGCTCTGGACTGGGAGGTGTTCAGGAAGCCCATGCACGGCCATCTGCCCTGAGCAGAGTCTGTCTGCTTGTTCAAGGCAGGGCTATGATCCAATGACCTTGAGGATTCGACCTCTGTGCTGAAAAGAATTGTGGTTGAGTGCTCCACGGTCTCAAGCTTGAGGACCTTCAAAGCTGGTTTGACGGGGCTGTTTCCATCTCTCACATGCTTGGTGGGAGAATAAATCAGCACCTCTTTTGAGGGGACTTTGTCAGTGTTTCTCAAAATTAAAGATGACCCAGCAATGTCACTTCCCAGCATCTGTGCCCTAGACACCCTGAGTGATCACAGCTGTGGGTGCCAGGACTCCCGTGCCTCCAGCAGACGCTGGCTCGCCGGCCCCTTCTCAGCGTCCATAGGAAGCCTCCCCTCACCCGCTCCGTCCCTCCTGCCCATGGCCTCTCCTGGGCACGTGGCCTCCCACTAAGCATGTGGGCTCTATGGGAGCTGGGGCCATCTCACACAGGGCCAGTCGCATCTGTCACCTCCTGGGGGTGGGTGGCAGGAGTGCCCACCACATGCAGGGCTCTGGACTCTGCCCAGGAGAGCAGCAGTTTCTGCTTGGCCTGCACTCTGAGTTTGCCCAGCCCGGCTGCGCATGCCAGCATCACTGGCTCCACCGAGCTCTGGGTTTTGCGGGGAATCCAGTCTTACTCTTCCGCGGCTTTGCCCTGCAGGGTGACCCAGGAATTTGTAGAGATGTCGACGGGGGGCTGCTCCCTGGTAGTGTGTGCTGTGTGTGCTCCGTGTGTGTATAGCATGAGCCTGAACTCGCTTTGCGAGAACTTGGTTCTTCGTGGTCTGCAGAAACCTCTTCTGAGCACTGGCTTCGGTTAGAGGAAAGCCGTCCTCTACCCTTGCTGTGCTGCCGTCATGTTGAGGAACAGCTGCAGACAATGACAGGCACCGTCTGTCTCCACTGTGTCGCTGGCTGCCCAAGTGCTCTGCTTCAGAGCACCCCAGAAAGCCCCGTGCCCTGCAGCACTTGCTCCAGACACGCCCGGTGGCTGTCAGCAGCGGGACTCCAGCCCAGAAACACCCAGCCCCTGCTCGGTTTCCGTGTGGGGGTCCTTCATGTTCCCGTGCCCCACACCTCTAAAGCAGTGCGGAATTGGTGGCAAGTGAGGAGGAAGTGCGGTGGGGCCGCTCTGGTTTGCTACTCTCTGAAGCTGGCACAGCCCACGTGCCAATCTCGTGTCTCATTTCTGGTCAAGCCCTGTTGTTCTCTTGCCAATCTCTGGGTTTCTCTATGGTAGCAGAGTCCAGAGGGGTGGGCGGAGCAGCCGTGGCCCTGACTCTAAACAGCTGTGGCGGGCAGAGCACGGTGCCCATGTCAGGTGGTGATGTGGGCTACAGGGCTGACCGTCTGGTAGAATTCAGAGAATCCTCGCACAGGACGTCCAGGCAGCCCCTGGAGCTGTGCGGAGGTTCAGGGCCCTGTGGGGCTGCTTTTCCTCCTGCCTTGGTCAGGTAGGGGTCCCTCTGCTGGCCGGAACAGGGGCTTCACTGAGAGCCAGGCTAGCGGAGAAACCAGACACCCCAATCAAACAAGCAGAAACCAAGGCCAGTAGTTGAGGGTCTCAGGCTCAAAACATACTTTGGTTCTGACAGTTTTTATTGTTGTGGAGTTTGTTTTGTTAAACTGCAAAGTGTTGTGTGTGGTTTCAACCTAAGAGCAGAAAACAGAACTTTAGTGCAAACCACAAGCAGCAACATGGTAACTTTCCTCTAGCAAGGTAGTGAAAGAGACGCGCTAGAGAGAGGCTGCTGGGCGTGGGAAACAGGTGTCGCAGAGGAGACAGGGTCATGGGGTCACTGCTGCCCTTTGTCGGGAGACGAGGCTTGCTGCTTTCTCTTATAATGTCGTCTTGAGTTTGGAAAGGAACGTGTTTCCCTTCCTCATGGAGTGTTGAGTGTTATGGCTGCGGGAAGTGTGAGACATAGGGCGTGGGACCTCAGCTCAGATGCCTGCTGGCGGGTGTTCTCGCCGGTCTTCCAGGTTCCAGCGCCGGGCCTGATGCCCGCCCCAGGAGGATGGGTGCCTCCACCTCTTTGTGCCCGCTGCTCCTGTGAACTGGGAGCTCCCCTTGGCTTTTCTCTCTGACTCAGCGAGTGACCTTGAACTTGGCCTCCTTTGTTCCCTGTGTGTGAGCAAGTGGTGGCCTTGTTTACTGAACACAGTGTAGAATGCAAAATTCTGAGATGAAACCTAACCTAATATGTGTGTGTGAGATGGAAACATCATCGTCAGAATCATGCTGCTCAGCGTCCCTGGGAACCAAGTGGGCTACTCGACTGTCCTTCAGCCCCAGGCCTGGATGCTGTCAGACCGAGGGCTCCTGAGCGCCGAGTGGGTGCTTCGCCCAGGCCTGGATGCTGTCAGACCGAGGGCTCCTGAGCGCCGAGTGGGTGCTTCAGCCCCAGGCCTGGATGCTGTCAGACCGAGGGCTCCTGAGCGTCGAGTGGGTGCTTCGCCCAGGCCTGGATGCTGTCAGACCGAGGGCTCCTGAGCGCCGAGTGGGTGCTTCAGCCCCAGGCCTGGATGCTGTCAGACCGAGGGCTCCTGAGCGCCGAGTGGGTGCTTCAGCCCCAGGCCTGGATGCTGTCAGACCGAGGGCTCCTGAGCGCCGAGTGGGTGCTTCGCCCAGGCCCAGGACGCTGTCATACCGAGGGCCCCTGAGCACCTAGTAGCAGAGCCAGAGGGTGCTTCCCCAGGAAGGGAGGCAGAGCAGCCTCTTACTTCAGAGGCTGAGGCAGTGACAGCAGGGGTCTTGAAGGAGATGTGAATTTAGGGCCTGACACCAGGGGTGAGCGGCTGTCAGTGAGCAGGAGGTGTCAGCGCCGGGAAGGACACAGTCAGTTCTGGCTGTAAAGAGCCTGAGAAAGCTGACTGTCTCGTGCCCTCGTGAGTAGAGCGAAGCTTCAGTTATAAAGGCCAAGGAGGCAGGAGGCTCGTGGAAAGTGCTGCCCTGTGGCCTCGCTGTGGGATGCGGGGACTCTGCCCCTGGCCTGTGTTCGTGTCCTCTGGTGGCGGGATGCCAGCCCCCACATGTCACGAGCAGTGAGCCCTCAGGCAGAGACGCTGTGGCCTGCTCTCGGTCTCTTTTCTCTGAACAGGGGATTCCAGCGGAAAGCGGGCCCGCCACGGCCCCTCCCAGGACACTCTCGCTCCCTGAGCATTTATTTGTTATTTAGTAGTTAAGTTTTTGTGGGGAGAGGGGAGAATTATAGTTGAACCTAAAATACATTCTCTAGCCCTGTGAACTGCCTGATTTAAAGCTCGGCTTGGCAGGGTGCAGTGGCTCACCCCTATAATCCCAACACTTTGGGAGGCTGAGGTGGGTAGATCACCAGAGCTCAGGACTTGGAGACCAGTCTGGTCAACATGGTGGACCCCGCCGTCTCTACCAACAACACAAAAATTAGCTGGGCGTGGTAGTGCACACCTATAATCCCAGCCATTGGAGAGGCTGAGGCAGAAGAATCACTTGAACCCAGGAGGCGGAAGTTGCAGTGAGCTGAGATGACACTATTACACTCTAGCCTATGTGACAGAGCAAGGCTCCATCTCAGATAGACAGACAGACAGACAGAGCAGGTAAGACTCCATCTCAGATAGGAAAGGGAGAGAGAAAAGAAGGAAAAAAGCATGGCTCACAGCTGCTCACTGCAACCCAGGACTTTGGGTCAGCCTGGGCAGCACAGTAGAACCTTGTCTCTACCAAAAAAAAAAATGCTGAGTGCAGTGTCACGCGCCTGTGGTTCCAGCTACTCAGGAGGCTGAGGCTGGAGGATTGCGTGAGCCCAGGAAGTCAGGGCTGCGGTGAGTCATGATTGTGCCATTACACTGGAGCCTGAGTGGCACATCAAGACCCTGTATCCTTGGCCACCTCACCACATTTCCACTTTCGCACCTGTGTAGGAAGTGCGTGAGAGAAGCCCCGGGGTCTGGGTCTCCAGGCCACACCTGTTGTGGGGAGGGCCCTGGCCGAGCTGTTCACACCTCCTCCTCTCAGGGTTTTCCAGGCTCAGGATTCTAAAAACTGTCATTCAGATGTACCTTAAGGTGTGGAATTTTATATGCTCCTTGGTTTTACCTAGTTTATTTCATTGTTTAGAATCTTGTGTGATGTGGGAATCCTTCAACTAATGAGCTAGATGGAAAGCTGAGATGCTGGGCATGCACATTCCAGCGGCGTGGGCGTGGGCGTGGGCGTGGTAAGAAGGCCGGACGCTGTCCGGTGCGCTGCCTTGTGATGGCAGGTGCAGCAGGCATACCTGGCTGGGGTCTTGGCCGAGTTTAGATGGCTGGATGGGCACTCACATGCTGTGCCTTGCCTTTCTCCAGGTCGCCCCCAGGAGGCCCTCGGGACGCCGGTCAGGATGATGCTGCTCCCCGTGAAGCTGACCTTCCGGCGCCTGGCCTGTGCCTTGGCCTCCTGCCGTCTGGCTCCTGCAGGACACAGAGGAAGTGGCCTTCTGCACACAGCCCCCGTGGCCCCCTCAGACCGGACCGCCCCAGTGTTCACCCGCGCCCTGGGCTTTGGGGACAGAACTGCCGTGGTTGACCGGCACGGCCACCACACGTACGCGGAGCTTTATTTCCGCAGCCTTCGCCTGTCCCGGGAGATCTGTGGGCTCCGCAGGTGTGTTGGCGGGGGCCTCCGCGAGGAGAGGGTCTCCTTCCTGTGTGCCAATGACGCCTCCTATGTCGTGGCCCAGTGGGCCTCGTGGATGAGTGGTGGTGTGGCAGTCCCCCTCTACAGGAAGCACCCTGCGGCCCAGCTGGAGTATGTCATCTCCGACTCCCAGAGCTCAGTGGTCCTTGCTGGCCAGGAATACCTGGAGCTCCTGAGCCCTGTGGTCCGGAAGCTGGGGGTCCCGCTGCTGCCTCTCACACCAGCTGTCTACAGTGGAGCAGCGGAGGAAGTGGCAGAGGGGCCGGTCCCGGAGCAGGGGTGGAGAGACCAGGGTGCCATGATCATCTACACCAGCGGGACCACAGGGAGGCCCAAGGGCGTGCTGAGCACGCACCGCAACCTTGGGGCTATGGTGAGTGCCGCCCCGCGCCGCTGCGGACCCGTCACCGTGCAGTGCTCTGGGTGGACTCCGGCCAGAAGTTGTTCTTTTCCCTCACTTTTCTGTGCAGTCATTCACGGTTGTCACCATCCTGCAGACCTGTGTGAGGTGCCCAGACTTGGCCCGCAGGGTGTGGCCGCTGGCCTGCTGGCTGTGCAGGATGGCTCTGTGAGTGGCCAAGCACAAAGGTGCAGGCAGGGGCGACGCCTTCCAGTGTAGAGGGGTTGAGGGGCTGCTGCTCGCCCCACCAGGACCATGTGCCAGGAGTTCAGAGGGATCCCTCTCTGCCTGTGATGGTGAGGGGCTTTTCAGAGGCAGCCACGTGTTCAGATGTGTGGTCAGGACCCCACGTACACCCATGTCCCACTCATTTTTGTGTCCTGTGGCCTCAGTCACATCTTCACAGAACTCTAGAGCCAGGTCACTTATCTGTCATTTGTATCCTGCTTTCTTCCGAAAGTATCCATGTGTGTCATAGAGTCTCATGCAATTGAAGCAATAAAGTCAAAACCACGACAGGGAGGGTAGGAAGTGGACCCTACGGAGTCATGGCTTGACACAGGTGCTGTGAGCACACAGGTGACGACAGTTCATGAATCGGCAGAGCTCTGCGTGGGCAGTGCTGTGGCTGAGCCAGTGGTTGGGCTGGGAGTCTGGATTCCAGTCTGAATGGCACTGGGTCCCTGAGTCCCAGGCCTGTGAAGGTGCAGAGCTGGGGATGGCGATGCTGGGTCATGGCTCCATCTGCCTGGTGTTTGCAGAGCCACTCCACCACCTTCTAAATTCCCTAAAGCCTCTGGCTGGGTATGGCACTGTCCTCTGTCCCCAGAAGCAGCCAGTGACCCAGCAGATCAGCTATGGTTTCTTCATCATCTTTCGAGGCTTTAGAGGGGAGCAGCAAAGAGCCAGGCTTCTCCTTCCCCCTTCCTCAGCTGGGGGACCCAGAGCTCCCGTCCCTGAGCCCAGGTCTGTGTGCTGCTGTGGGCCACAGCCTCCCCCTTCCTCAGCTGGGGACCCAGAGCTCCCGTCCCTGAGCCCGGGTCTGTGTGCTGCTGGGGGCCACAGCCCCCCCCCTTTCCTCAGCTGGGGACCCAGAGCTCCCGTCCCTGAGCCCAGGTCTGTGTGCTGCTGCAGGCCACAGTCTCGCTCCAGCTCTCAGCCGCGCTCTCATCCCCTGCAGGTGACTGGGCTGGTCCACAAGTGGGCATGGACCAAAGACGACGTGATCCTCCACGTGCTCCCGCTGCACCACGTCCACGGAGTGGTCAACGCGCTACTCTGCCCGCTCTGGGTGGGCGCCACCTGCGTGATGATGCCTGAGTTCAGCCCTCAGCAGGTGAGTCGGGTTGTGGCTCCTGGCAGCGCCCTCAGAGCAGGTTCCTTTCCTGGTGTGCATTTGTCCCGTACCCACAGGGAACGTGCTGCAAGACCGCAGGTGCCAGGACCTTGGGAAGCACGGCACCCTGTGCCTGCAAGGCTTTTTGCTATACATGTGCACCTGTGATAAAGCTTCATTTGTAAGTTAGACACAGGAAGAGATGAACAGTAACAAGTTACAACCGTGGACTGTAGTAAGTTATGTGGACGCGCTCTATCTTCAACATGCCTTCCGGTACTGTGCTCCCATTTTGAGACTGCAGTGGGCCTCACGTCACTGAAGCCGTGAACAGTGAGACTGGGTGAGCTGGGCAACTGCAGGCCCTGCTGGCCGTGAGCTCCTGGGCTGCTGCGAATGCTCATACACCTGGTTTAACACAGTGCAAGTTTGTTTTTCCGTGCTTGGAAGCCAGGAGTCTGAGCTGAGCCTTGCAGAGCTGACGCTGCATGTGGTGGGGCTGCTCTATCAGGAGGCTCCAGGGCAGAGTCTGTTCCTGCCTCTTCCAGCTTCTGGAGTCTAGAGGCCTCCTGTCCCCCTGGCTCCAGCTGCTTCAGGCCAGCTCTTCTTTTGGAGGCACATGGCCTTCGCTCCATGGTGAGATCTCCCGTCGTGAGGTCCTTTGCTTCACCTACCTGCAGTTCCCACCACTTTGTGAGGTGACGCCTTGGGGATCCAGGGCGCATGGTGTGGCCTCTTGAGCTGTGATGCGGCCACTGTGGCAGCTTGCGGTTACTCCGGAGTACTGGCCCAGCCGGAGGGCTGCTGCAGAGCCTCTGTGCCTCCCCTCTGCATCGCGACCTCTGTAGGTCTTCCTTGATGCAGGCAGAGAGGGAAGGTTGCGGCACTGGGCACGTAGAGCACCGGGGCAGGAGCGGTCAACCGCGAGCTGCAGCTACAGCCTCACCTGTGCCGGGCGCTGTCTCTGGGGCAGACCAGGGATGCTGCTTTGGAGGGAAACCACCTGGGCTTGAGGCAGGACTGCAGCATCAGGCCTCTCCTGTCAGTTGGGGATGGCAGAGGCTTTTAGGAGCTGCTGTGGCCTGTGTGCATTTCAGGGAAGGCGGTGGCTTTTAGGAGCTGCTGTGGCCTGTGTGCATTTCAGGGAAGGCGGTGGCTTTTAGGGGCTACAGTGACCTGCATGCGTTTCAGAGATGGCGGTGGCTTTTAGGAGCTGCTGTGACCTGCATGCATTTCAGGGAAGGCGGTGGCTTTTAGGGGCTACAGTGACCTGCATGCATTTCAGAGATGGGGGTGGCTTTTAGGAGCTGCTGTGACCTGCATGCATTTCAGAGATGGCGGTGGCTTTTAGGGGCTGCTGTGGCCTGTGTGTCTTTCAGCTGACTGTATGTGAGAGCCACTCACCAGGCTGCAGAGGGCACAGGGGGCTGGCCTTGAGCCCGCAGGAAGGACAGGACGTGTGTCTGTCACAGGTGCAGTGAAGCAGAGACCTCAGGTGAGGCTGTGGATGCTTGCTGACCTCCACCCTTAAATTACACCTTTTATTCACAGGAAAAAAAAGTCTAAAAAGTGAATGTGGAAAAAGCCCTTAGGTTTGGATCACGTCATGATCCTTCTCATCAGAGTGCTATTCTCCTGAGCAGAGGAGCCCGCCTCTGAGGCCAGGTGCCCAGGGCTGGGCTCCGGTACCATGCTGGGCTGTCCGGCAGGACAGACGTCCTGGCCAGAGGAGGCACAGCCCTAAGCCCAGAGCACAGCAGCCAGCAGTGGCCGGCCCCACACTCACTGCTCTTGCCGAGGACTCTTCCTGTCTGAAGTTTTTCTGGAAGTCTGAAGTTTTTCTCAAACCCTACTCAGGTGTGACTTTCTCCGAAAAGGGGCCATTCAAGTGGACGCTTCCTGCTCTGCTGCTCTCACGTGCAGCCCCACCCACCTGGCCTCTGCTTCTGCAGCTGAGAGGTTGGTCCTCTCCACCACCAGGCACCTGACCACACATGGTGGCTGGAGGTGGAGAGCAGGCAGCTCATCTGGCCCTCCACCTCTCTGACCTTCAGCCTCATCATCAGAAAACAAGAGGTCCTGGCCGCGTGAGCCTGAGGGGTGTGTAGGAGGGCCTGTCCTGGCTCCCGCTGCGGGAATATGGCTCAGTGGCCTGACCCTCCTTGTGGCTGTCTCCTTTGGTGAATGCTCGGCATAGACACAGCTGTCCTGGGTGAGCGTCTGCTGAGCCGAAGTGGTTTTGTTGCAGTGAGTTCCCCGGCTGTGTGCTGTGGGTGGCTCAGCGCCCGCTGTGTAGGGACCTTCGATGCCTTTCCTGTGTCTCTGGGGGCTCCAGCGTCTGTACCTGTGACTGGGCCCCTCAGCTTGCGCCACCTTGGCCCCTGCTCCTTGGCAGCCTGGCCTTGAGCCTCTGTTGGGGGCCTCCCGGACACTGACAGTGGCTGGTCTGCCATGGTCACTTGGACAGAGAGACAGTGCCAGCCTTTGTCATAGACGTGCCAGGACGGGTGCAGCTGGCAGGGGCAGAGGCAGAGCATCTCCCAGGGAGCCAAGGGGCAGGGGCAGAGGCAGAGGTTTCCCAGGAGCCGAGGGGCAGGGGCAGAGGCAGAGGTCTCCCAAGGAGCCAAGGGTAGGTTGGTTTTGTCCTCCAGGCTAAAGAGTGTGTCACCCTCAGGGCAAGAGGCAGGTGGGTGCAAGTGCCGGTGTTGGCCGGCTGTCGCAGATCCAGATTTCCTCCACTCGCTGCTGCTCCAGCGCTGTGTGAATGGCAGCACCTGGCCTTCCCAGTGCCCGCAAGCACACGGCTGGGGAGCTGCTGCTCTGGCATCTCTGTTCAGGAGCATCTGCCATGGGGTCCCTGTCCTGAGGTCTCTGCTCAGGAGTGTCTGCCCTGGGCTCTCTGCTGGGGGTCTCTGTCCTCTTCCTGACGCTGCAGACTGGCTGGTTAGTGGACACGGGAAAGTCTCAGACCTTCACCGTTACTGACACTTACTTGGGATTTTCTCTAAACTCTGCCCTGAAAACTTAATATTTAAACAAATTCGATGCTGTGGCTACAAAGGATTGCAACTGTTTCACAAACTTCGCGTTTCAGGTTTTGCAGCTTTAGAAATTTATATTTGTGAAATCCAGCTGTCCGCATGATTGAATGTGGGGGTCTTGTCTAAGACTGAATTTAAGAATGTGTATGATACAGGTGTGGGGCGAGCAGAAGCCTGCAGTGGCTTTGTGGGCGCAGTATCTTCAGGTCATCCTGCTGCGCGGGTGGTGGGTGTCAGTGTCTGCAGGTGACAGATGGGATTGGGGGACACAGAAGATGGTGGGTGTCAGCATCTGCAGGTGACGGATTGGGCTCGGGGACAGGTGGAGGACTCTGGAAGATGGATGTGCAGCCACAGCCTCTGGAGCTCAGAGTCGCCGCTAACAAGGCAGCAGAGGCTCCCATCAGTCACTTGTCTCTGACAGCGCTGCTCTGGCTGAGTCCTCAGGATGGCAGCATGCACTTGGGACAGCAGGGCAGTGAATCAGGGCAGGGCGGCTGGGGGTGCCCTGTGTGGGAACTGCCATCTGGTGGAGTCTGTGCTGCAGCAGCTCAGGTTAGAGCAACAGGCGTGCTCCTGCCGCCTTGGAAGCACTTGTTGGTAGTGAAGTGTTCCGGTGCCCTTTGGGGGGCTCCAGGCCTTACAGTGCTGCTGGGAAGTGTGGCAGCGCATTGGGATGTGCCAGAGGAAGGAGGTCATGCTCAGCTCTCAGTGCCCTTCTCTAGGGCCACAGCTGCCTGCCGAAGATTTGGATGAATTCCAGGAAAGGCATTCCTTCCAGGCCTGTCACCTCTGCAGGCTCCCCACCCTCAGCCTTGTCCTGCTTCGAGGGTGCTCCCCACCCCTCAGCCCCTCAGCGCCGTCCCACTACACGTGTTCTCTGTGCTTCAGTGTTGCTCATGCTTCTGGTTCACTGCACTGTTTCATAGTTTCTCCAAGTGTTGCATCATATGGGTTTGTTCTTTTAGCATTGCTGTGTTGTATTTTGTAATATGCAGGTGTCACAGTGTGCTTTTCCCTTCTCCTGTTGAAAGACTTTGGACTGTTTTCAGTTTGTGGCTGTTAGAGCAATTGCTGTGAACATTCTCACGTAGGTGTCATCGTAGATGCTTCTTGGATCCATGCATCATGGTGCCAGCTTACAGGCTGGGCATGGATTTCATTTCCGTTGAAACTGCCAAAGTTCTCAAACATGATTGCGTATCTTGTATGCCCACCAGTCCCATTCTGCTGGTACCAGTTTACTGTATGAGTCTATGTGACTCTGCTGATGGAGAAGGCTGGGAAGAAGAAGAGCTCTAATCGGCCTCACAATTCCACATGGCTGGGGAGGCCTCAGAATCATGGCGGGAGGTGAAAGGCGCTTCTTACCTGGTGGAGGCAAGAGAAAATGAGGAAGAAGCAAAAGTGGAAACCCCTGATTCAGTTTCATGAGAATAGCACAGGAAAGACCGACCCCCATCATGTAATTGTCTCCTCCCACAACGCGTGGTCATTCTGGGAGATGCAGTTCAAGTTGAGATTTGGGTGGGGACACAGACACCATATCGGGAGTCCTGACAATTTTTTAGATTCCCCGCGTGTCTCCTCTCGGCTGGCTTCATCTGCTCCTGCAGAAGCTCCCCGACGAGCACAGTGCTTCCCCTCGGTATTTTCCTTCACCTGAGGAACCTCTTTTCAATAGTTCTCGTTCTGCAGCTATGCCGACGACAGATCCCTCAATATTGCTTCACTCAGAATGTTTTTATCGCACCTTCCCTTTGCAAAAACAGCTCTATCGAGAACAGTTCACATGCAGGAAAATTCACTGTCGTAAATTATGGACTGTGCGGCCGTCACTTCAAACCGGTGTCCATTTTCCGTCAGCCCCTTGCAACCACGAACCTGCTTTCTGCCTTCCACATTCCTTGTTGTGGACGGCAGTGCACACAGGCCGTGTCACCTGCAGCCTTTGTTCCAGCTTCCTCCATTTGTAGGGTGCTGTCCTGCGTGTCAGTCACTTGTTCCGGAAAAGTAATTTATCCTGTGGACATAGCACGTTTTCTCCATCCCTTCACTGTCTCGTGGGCATTTGCGCTGTTTCCAGTTTGGGGCTGTCTGAATCATGCTGCCGTGAGCATTTGCACATGAATCTCTGTAGACGTGTTTGCACTGATCTTACATGGACACAGAGGGGTAGAATTGATGGGTCGTATGGTGAGTTTCTGTTTAATGTTTTTAGAGACTGGCAAACTGGCCGGGCACAGTGGCTCACACCTGTAATCCCAGCACTTTGGGTGGCTGGGCAGGCGGATCATCTGAGGTCAGGAGTTGAAGACCAGCCTGGCCAACATGGTGAAACTTCGTCTCTACTGAAAATACAAAATTAGCCGGGCGTGGTGGCGCACGCCTGTAATCCCAGCTACTCAGGAGGCTGAGGCAGGAGAATTGCTTGAACGCAGGGGGCGGAGGCTGCAGGGAGCCTACCGACATCGCACCACTGCTTTCCCGCACCACTGCTCTCCAGCCTGGGCGACAGAGCAAGACTGTCTCAAGAAGGAGAGAACTGAACGTGGGAAACTTTTCCGGGATGGCTGTGTTGTGCGTTCTCAGCAGTGGCGTGTGAGAGGCTGTTTCCTTACTCCGCGTCCGCACTTCTTGTTGCCTTCAACTTGCCTTCCTAGTGATACTGATGTTGAGCTCTTTTTTTTCTGAGACGGAGTCTTGCTCTGTCCAGGCTGGACAGAGTGCCATGGCTTAGTCTCAGCTCACTGCAATCTCCGCCTTTTGGATTCAAGCGATTCTCCTGTCTCAGCCATCTCAGCAGCTGGGATTACAGGCATGCACCACCATGCCCAGCTATTTTTTTGTATTTTTTTAGGGACAGGGTTTTGTCGTGTTGGCCCGGCTGGTCTTGAACTCCTGACCTCAAGTAATCTGCCTGCCTCAGCCTCCCAAGGTGCCATGATTGCAAGCGTGAGCCTCCATGCCGGCCAGATGTTGAGTGTTTTCCTGTTTGTTTTTACTTTTTTCTTTTTAAACGTTTTTTGTAGAGACACGGCCTCCCGACGTTGCCCAGGCTGGTCTCAAGCTCCTGAGCTCAAGGCATCCTCCCGCCCTAGCCTCCCAGAGTGCCTGGGTTATGGGCGTGGGCGCTGCGCCCAGCGCTGTTTGTTCTTTTTTGCATCCGTATGCAGTCTTTGGGGAAGTGTCTAGTGAAAGCTCACCGTTTTTTAATTGGTCTCAAGAGTTGTAAGAGTTTGCTGTGTATTTTGGATACAAGGCTTTTTTCGGATGTGTGGTTTGCAAACATTTCCTCCCAACTCTGGCTTGTCTTTTTATTTTCTTCGTGTGTCTTTTGAAGCACACGTTAATTTTGATGAAATTCATTTTATCAAAAAAAATTTTTTAAATTCATTTTATCAATTTTTAAACTTTATAGATCATGTTTTTTGTATCTCATCGAAAAAGTCTTTGCCAAACCAGAGGTCATGTCGTGGAGATACTTGCTTTCGTTTTTTCCTAGTCATTTTCTAGTTTTAGCTCACGTGGAGGTTTCTGACCCACTGTGGGTTAGTTTTACATATGGCAGGAGGTGGGGACTGAGACTCCCCTCTGCACGGAGCTCTTCAGTGTACCAGTGCCATTTGTAAGAAGGATTATCCTGTCGTCCGCCCCCATGGCTGACGACTTCTCCGCCAGGAATCACTTGACCACATGCGCACTGGTTTATTTCCGAATCTCAGTTCTGTGCTGTGGCTCTTGTCTAATCTTACACAGCGTCACACTGTGTTAATTACTTTTGGTTAACGGTCAGTTTTGGAGTTGGGAACTGTGTGTCTTCACCTGTAATCTGCCCTTTGAAATGTATTTTGGATCTTTTGGGTCCTTTGCCTTTTAAGATAAGCTTGCTGCAATTTTGGGAAAGATTGCTTTGAAGCTGGAGCTCAGTGTGGGAAGCACCGTCTTCACAATGTGGAGATGTCGCATCCACCAGCCTGGCCTCTCTCCCTCTGCTCCTCTGTTCCGTCTCCTCCCCTGGACTGCACCCATCATGGGTGCTGCTTCTCGGGTGCCGCACGCCTCCCGCGCCCGGCTTGCCCGTGTCTTTGCTTTTCTGTCTGCACTTCAGCCTAGATCCCGTTCGCTGACCTGTGCTGAATTCTTTCCTCTTTTCTGCTGCCTTGTTTGTTAGGTGTATTTAATGAGTCTTCATTTCAGAGCTTCTGTTTTCAGTGTTAGGATTTCTGCAGTTCTCCATTTCCCTGTGTTGTTCATGCTTTCCTTTCAATTCCTTCATCTGGTTATTGCAGTCACATGAGGGGCCCTGTCTGGCGATTCTGGCATCTGGATTTCCTGAGGCTCTGCTCTGTTTGCTCCTCCCTTCACTTTGGGGTCACATCTTTGTTTCCCTGCGTGCTTTGTAATGGTGAAGGGTTCCAGTCTTTGTGTTTGAGAGAATGATATCATTTCTTCCCCGGAGATTCCCGCCTTTCTCTGCCAGGCACCACGGGGAGGCACTTATAACCGCAGTCCAGTGAGGAGGGGGATGGGCTGGGGATGGACCGTGAGGAGAGGGGATAGCCGGGGATGGACAGTGAGGAGGGGGATGGCCCGGGGATGGACAGTGAGGAGAGGGGATGGCCAGGGATGGACAGTGAGGAGGTGGAGGGGCCCGGGATGGACAGTGAGGAGGGGGGATGGGCCAGGGATGGATAGTGAGGAGGTGGAGGGGCCTGGGATGGACAGTGAGGAGGGGGATGGCCCGGGATGGACAGTGAGGAGGGGGGATGGGCCGGGGATGGACAGTGAGGAGGTGGAGGGGCCCGGGATGGACAGTGAGGAGAAGGGATGGGCCAGGGATGGACAGTGAGGAGGTGGAGGGGCCCGGGATGGACAGTGAGGAGGGGGGATGGGCCAGGGATGGACAGTGAAGAGGGGGGATGGGCCGGGGATGGACAGTCAGGAGGTGGATGGGCCGGGGATGGACAGTGAGGAGGGGGCTGGCCCGGGGATGGACGGTGAGGAGGTGGATGGGCCCGGGATGGACAGTGAGGATGGGGGAGGAGCCGGGGATGGACTGTACTGTCAGCTTTCATTGGCCCCAGTCTCAGCACTGTGTGGATGAGATCTGACCAGTGCGTCATGGGCCTCTGTTAGGGGCTGACCCCACAGCACAAAGCATGCCCTCTGCCCTCTGCCCTCTGCCACAGCCATTCGGGGCTCCACGTGGAACATCTGCAGGTAGAGAGGGCCACGGAAGGAGCATGGCTCACCAGCTCTTCCTGAAGCTTTATGGGCAATGCAAGAAACCGCTAATGAATAAGGAACTTAAAACATTTATATTTAAGCAAGAAATGTTTATTATGGAATAAAATATATTCACATGACTCTTAGATAAAACACTTCACCTATTGACTAGTCACCGCGTGCCTCTCCATACTGGAAACCGTGCTGACTTGGGGTCTGCAGGTGGCCGCCGGGGCCTCCTGCCAGCTTCCCCAAGGTGCACATCTGCCCTCCTCTGTGTTGCTGGAAGAGCCTGCCCTACCCGTGTCTCTCCATGCCCACAGATCCCAAAACCTTTTTCAGCTCTCCCCATGATTGCTCTTCGCCCCCCATGACTTCTCTTCCCCCTACGATTGCTCTTCCCCCCAATGATTACTCTTCCTCCTCCATGATTGCTCTTCCCCCACATGATTGCTCTTCCCCCCACAATTGCTCTTTGCCCCACAATTGCTCTTCCCCCCCATGATTGCTCTTCTCCCTCCCATGATTGCTCTTCCCCCTCCACGATTGCTCTTCCCCCCCACGATTGCTCTTCTCCACCACGATTGCTCTTCCCCCCCACGATTGCTCTTCTCCACCACGATTGCTCTTCCCCCAATAATTGCCCTTCCTCCTCCACGATTGCTCTTTCCCCCCCGCACAATTGCTCTTCCCCCTCCAAGATTGCTCTTCCTCCCCACGATTGCTCTTCTCCACCACGATTGCTCTTCCTCCCCACAGTTGCTCTCCCCTGCCATGATTACTCTCCACCCACGGTTGCTTTTCCCCCATGGTTGCTCTCCCCTGCCACAGTTGCTCTACCCCCCACGATTACTCTTCCTCCTCCCACAATTGCTCTTCCCCCCACGATTGCTCTTCCCCTCCCACGATTACTCTTCCTCCTCCCACAATTGCTCTCCCCCCGACGATTGCTCTTCCCCCCATGGTTGCTCTTCCCCCTCCACAATTGCTCTTCCGCCTCCACGGTTGCTCTTCCCCTTTCAGGGCAGACACAGTTGCCCCACGCAAGGTGACTTCTGTGGGAACAGGTCGGAGGCCGAGGCACCGCTTTTAGATGGGAGACGCTGTGGACTCCTGACTGTGACCGATGAGAGGCTCCGTTCGTGGAGCCGGGAGCCCCTGCCGTGGGTCTCGGTGCCTGCTTGCTCATCTTCTTACTGAGGGCTTCCTTTCCTCTGCAGGTTTGGGAGAAGTTCTTAAGTTCTGAAACGCCGCAGATCAGTGTCTTTATGGCAGTGCCCACCATGTACGCCAAGCTGATGGAGTACCACGACAGACATTTCACCCAGACGCATGTCCAGGATTTCATGCGTGCCGTTTGTGAACAAAAAATCAGGTAAATAAAGACTTTCCATTCAGACAGTCTTAAAGATCAACAGATAGAACTGACTTCCAATAAATCACTTCTGAGTTCTAGGAAGCAGCAGGGTGCGTTTCCTTTCAGTGTTCTCCCTCTCCACCCGTCTATACGCGTATCTAGAATCTGTTCCACGCTGACTGCTGTCTGTAGTCCGTGTCACTCTGTCTCTGTCTCAGGTCTCGTTGTCTCTGTCTTTCTCACCGTCTCTCTCTGTCTGTGTCTCGCCCGTCTTTCTCTCCATCTGTCTCTCTCTCTCCATCTGTCTCTACCTCTGTGTCTCTGTCTTCATCTGTGTGTCTTCTCTCTCTCCTGTCTGTCTGTCTGTCATGGGGTCTGAAGGACCAGGGTGAGGACAGTGACCTGAGACACTGGCTCCTGCCTCCTGTGCCCATGTGTCCCCAGCGCCTGCCCCCCCCACCCCCCGGCTCCGGTTCGGCAGCTTCTCTCTCTGCCTTTATCAGCAGCCCCGTGACCCCTCCTACCTAGGGCGCATTCTGCTGCTTTTCCTCCCATCCCTGCTCCTCCCAGGGCCGATCTGGTCTTTCAGGCCATTCAGTGGCGTGTTTGCTCTGCACTCTTGCCTGAACCTGCAGGCCTGGGAAAGTCCCCTTTCCCTCGTGTCTGCTGAAGTGTGTCCACTAACTGGAGATACACACGTGTGGCTCAGCGAGTCTCCGCACTCACCACAGCCCGCACCACCCACAGAGTCCTGGGTGGGGGGTTTTCTTGTTGTAGGAGGCAGGAGTGGCGTGGCGGGCGGACCACAGGAAGTGAACAGAAGGCTCCACTTAACTGCGTTTCCAGTGGGTTTGTGTGTGTCTGCGGCTGCCGTGCCGCTCCTCCCCGTCCCCAGGAAGTGCCCAGGGAAGCGACACTTGGTTCCTGGAGAGAATTCTGGGCTGTCAGGACACACACCTGATCCTGCTTCCTCCCTTTGCCATTCCCTTACCCCTTTTCTGAGAGGCTGCCAGAGCCGTGGTGTTGCTGCTTCTGCTCACTGCCCGCCCAAAGCCCCACCTGGGGTGCCCTGGGGCTGAGCGGGGTAAGCAGTCCACTTTACCACATCTAAGGAACCGACGGCAAGAATGAGGTCGGTGAAGGAGAGGACCCCGTGATTTCCGGGGTGACAGAGGCAACGAGACCTCAGCCATCTGGACTTCACAGCCAGGGTCCTGTGCTCACTGCCCGCCCAAAGCCCCACCTGGGGTGCCCTGGGGCTGAGCGGGGTAAGCAGTCCACTTTACCACATCTAAGGGACCGACGGCAAGAATGAGGTCGGTGAAGGAGAGGACCCCATGATTTCCAGAGTGACAGAGGCAACGAGGCTTAGCCATCTGGACTTCCCAGCCAGGGTCCTGGCCATGCTGCCCCTCATAAAGCGGGGCAGCAGGGACCCCTCTGCTCAAACCCAAACAAGAGCGCCTTCCCTCTGCATGTGAGGCTGTGTGAGTGCAGCTCGGTGGCTTGGAGGATTCTCCAGCCCTCATCCTGCCAAGCGTGAGCCGAGCCTGTGAGCTGAGATGGCTCCACCTCTGCGGGTGGTTCTGAGCCCCTTGGGTGTGTCTGGCCTCACCCCTTGGGTGCTACAAGCCATTCATCCATGTCCCCGTTCTCCTGTGGAGCCTTCAAGCTGAGCTGGCTGTAGTCCCGGAGGTGCCTGGCCACAGCCGCCACACCGTGGCTGCTCCCCCGTGGTCAGCTCTGTGGTCAGCAGCTGTGCGCTCACTGCTGTTCTTGAGCATCGCTGTGAACAGCGCGGGAACTTTGGGGGGGACACCACGGACCCTAAGCACATTGTTACCCTAATTAGCTGTTAGGCCTGCTTACCTTCTAAAATACACCCAACAAATCATTTCCAAAAAGCGAAGTCACACGTCACCCAGGCTGCAGTGCTGGCCTGGGTGTGTGCTGCACGCAGTGCTGTGTGCGGCCCTGACTGCTGCGCTGGCGAAGGGGCGCCACCTCTGCGCACAGGGCCTCCCCGAGGGCTAAGGCTGCCTTTGGTTGTGCGTGTAGGCTCATGGTGTCGGGCTCCGCTGCCCTGCCCCTCCCCGTGCTGGAGAAGTGGAAGAACATCACAGGCCACACCCTGCTGGAGCGGTACGGCATGACCGAGATCGGCATGGCTCTGTCCGGGCCCCTGAACCCCGCAGCGCGCGTGCCAGGTACCAGCACTGCCCGTCGCCCCGTTCCCCTCCCACTTTGCCTTGAGGCCCCCCCCGCCCCGCACTGGCAGGCCTGTCTCCAACCACCCACATTTGGACTGAAGGGCAGTATGGAGGGTGCTCCCCTGTGGGACAGACCACCAGGCCAGGAGAGCCCTCTGGGCACTCAGGGTGCACTGCGACCTCCCCCTCTGGGCAGACCAGCCTTCTCCCAGGTCTCAGTCAGCTGGATAGGGAGGGGTGTCGTGCTGGCCCCTGGCTGCGTGACTGGGGCGACATGGAAAGAACAGCAGCACCTGGCACAGGTTGGCGCACATCTCAGAGGAAGACTGGGCCCATGCTGCTGGCTCCACACCATGTCAGCCGTGGTGGGAGCCTCCATCTGCCTGGAGTCTGGGTGCCAGGCAGTGCCAGGGGAGGTGGGTGTGGGGGACAGGGTGGGGTGAGTGACCCAAGTGCCTGTCTTCTCTAGATGGGCTCCTGGCACCAGGCCCCTCTTGTCCAGTCTTCCCTAACAATCCCATTCTGACTTTCTTATCGGCCAATGCTTCCAGCCCTGGGTCCTCCACAGGGACTTAGGGGAGCAGAGCCCACAGCTGGGGGGGCATCCCGTTTCCTTCCATGAGCAGAGCCCACAGCTGGGGGTGCCCCACTTCTTCCATGAGCAGAGCCCACAGCTGGAGGGTGCCCGCTTCCTTGCATGAGCAGAGCCCACAGCTGGGGGGGTGCCCGTTTCCTTCCATGAGCAGAGCCCACAGCTGGGGGGTGCCCCACTTCTTCCATGAGCAGAGCCCACAGCTGGGGGGTGCCCGCTTCCTTCCATGAGCAGAGCCCACAGCTGGGGGGGTGCCCGTTTCCTTCCATGAGCAGAGCCCACAGCTGGGGGGGTGCCCGTTTCCTTCCATGAGCAGAGCCCACAGCTGGGGGTGCTCCACTTCTTCCATGAGCAGAGCCCATAGCTGGGGGGTGCCCGTTTCCTTCCATGAGCAGAGCCCACAGCTGGGGAGTGTCCGTTTCCTTCCATGGGCAGAGCCCACAGCTGGGGGGCACCTCACTTCTTCCATGAGCAGAGCCCACAGCTGGGGGTGCCCCACTTCTTCCATGAGCAGAGCCCACAGCTGGGGGTACCCGTTTCCTTCCATGAGCAGAGCCCACAGCTTGGGGTGCCCGTTTCCTTCCATGAGCAGAGCCCACAGCTGGGGAGTGCCCGTTTCCTTCCATGAGCAGAGCCCACAGCTGGGGGTGCCCCACTTCCTTCTGTACAGCCCTTTCAGTCTGTCCAGACCAGAAGAGAGCTCTTGGTGTACACGTGAAAGTGAGACAGTCCCACGTGTCTGTCTGTGCAGCTGCTTACCTGCATACACAGTGAGGTTACCCCTCTGCTGTGCGGTTCCATCAGTCTGAGGAAACGTCTGATACCACAGTCAGTTAGAGGAGGCTCCTCGCCTCGTTCTGTGACATCACAGTCAGATAGAGGAGATCCCTCACCTCAGTTCTGTGACATCACAGTCAGATAGAGGAGGCTCCTGACCTCATTCTGTGATACCACAGTCAGATAGAGGAGGCTCCTCTTCTCAGAAACTAACTTTCCCTCCCTGGTGGTCAGCACCTCCTCTGCCTCCGAGGCCCGGCCCCTTGTTCCCATTTCTCTTCCGGTGGTTTTGCTTCTTCTGGAAGGTCATGTGGCTGAATCGTGCAGGATGGGGCCTCCGGGCCTGGCTGCCTGCACTCGGCTTCCGCCTGCCCTCGCCCAAGCTGTGTGTGTCAGAGCTCGCTCCTTTCACTACCGAGTGGATCTGTGTGTGGATGTGTTGCAGAGTTCGGAGCCTGGAGAGACCGTTGAGGTTGCAGAGGGAGTTTGTTTTAGGTGGACCTTGGCCCACCTCGGATGCGCGTCCAAAGTGGCTGAGTGCCTAACAGAGACAGGGCTTGCCTTTATCTGTGAAGCACATGGTGGCGGGAAGACAAGTTTGCAGGTGCAGAACAGTGTATCAAACAGTGACAGACACTTCACTCCGGTTTCCATATGACGCGCTCTGCAGCACTCGTTACGTGTAGAGCTCAGGAATCCTAACACGAGCCTCACCTGTTCTGTTGCCCCCCGCGACAGCACCTGGAGGGCTGCAGTCCAGCTGCTTCCACATGGCTTACGGCCTTCACTGAACACACACAGGTATCAGCTGCAGAGAAGAATGCGAGAATCTCTAAACAGGCTGCAAAGCAACACACACTGCTGCGGGAGGGGAGGGACTGGGAAGTCTGCTTACAGAAGAAATGTTTAATTTCTGCTCCTCTTTCCTGCATTCATTTTAATTTTATGTTATGTTGTTTCATTCATTTTTCTCTTCCCCCTTCAGATGTGCCACCGCTTGGGACCCCGTTTTAGGCAGTGACACGTAAGATGTCATAAACATTGGCGGGCAGATTCTGTGCAAACTTGGGTTTTTATTTCACTTGGGCGGGAACATAGGAGAGGGATGGCGGGGTTGTCTGAAGCTGCCAAGCTGTTCTCCACAGCACTGGCACTGTCCCCTTCCCCTGCGAAGGGCGGGAGGTCAGGAGCGCCTGCTGCTCAAACAGGCGGTGACGGGGTTTTATTGGGTTTCTGTTTCCCTCATGACGGTGGTGGTGAACACCTGGTTCCTCATGACGGTGGTGTGGGCGTCTCTTCCCATCACTCTCGTGACAGTGGTGTGGGCGTCTCTCCCCGTCTCTGTCGTGACAGTGCTGTGGGCTTCTCTCCCTGTCACTGTCGTGACAATGGTGTGGGCGTCTCTCCCCGTCTCTGTCGTGACAGTGCTGTGGGCTTCTCTCCCTGTCACTGTCGTGACAATGGTGCGGGCGGCTCTCCCCGTCACTGTCGTGACAGTGGTGTGGGCGGCTCTCCCCGTCACTGTCGTGACAGTGGTGTGGGCGTCTCTCCCCGTCACTCTTGTGACAGTGGTGTGGGCGTCTCTCCTCGTCTCTGTCGTGACAGTGGTGTGGGCGTCTCTCCCCATCACTCTTGTGACGGTGGTGTGGGCGTCTCTTCTCGTCTCTGTCGTGACAGTGGTGTGGGCGTCTCTCCCCGTCTCTGTCGTGACAGGGGTGTGGGCGTCTCTCCCCGTCTCTGCTGTGACAGTGGTGTGGGCATCTTTTCCCGTCTCTGCCGTGACAGTGGTGTGGGCATCTCTCCCCATCACTCTCGTGACAGTGGTGTGGGCGTCTCTCCCCGTCTCTGTCGTGACAGTGGTGTGGGCGTCTCTCCCCGTCTCTGCCGTGACAGTGGTGTGGGCGTCTCTCCCCATCTCTGTCGTGACACTGGTGTGGGCGTCTCTTCTCGTCTCTGTCGTGACACTGGTGTGGGCGTCTCTCCCTGTTACTCTCGTGACAGTGGTGTGGGCGTCTCTTCTCGTCTCTGTCGTGACACTGGTGCGGGCGTCTTTTCCCGTGTCTCTTGTGACAGTGGTGTCGGCGTCTCTTTCTGTCTCTCTTGAGAGAGCCACCACTGTTATGAGAGAGACAGGAAGAGGCGTCGACACCACTGTCATTTCAGACTCTGATCCATTTTGAATTCATTTTGTGCACAGTGCAAGATACGGCCCACAGATTTTTTTAGCGTCTGAGTGCAGCCTTTCCAGCACTGTTCATTGAGAAGACTCCCTCCATCAAGCGGCCCTTTGGATCTTTGTGGAAAGTTCATCGACTGCGTGGGGTTGACTCCTATACTCTGCTCGGTCCCTTGCTCTGTCTGTGTGTCCTTTGGCTAATTCCATGCTGGCTTGATTCTTGGGGCCCTAGGGTAAGCCTGGACATAGTGGTGCCTGGGCCCAGCTGGGGCCCGGCCGTGATACGGTGCTGGGGCTTGCAGGGTGAGTGTGAGGGCAAGGCTGCTGGGCTGGAAGGAGAGGAGGAGAGGCTCCTCCTGTGGGCTCACAGCTGGGCCTGGGAGTCGTGGGGGCTGCTAGGTGTCTTCTGAGTGAAGGGAGGTCCCTGTTGGTGGGGCGTCCCGAGCAGGATGATGGGGCCGTGGCAGTGAGAGCCTCTGCTGCAGTGCAGAGCTGCCCGTGCAGTAGCCACACAGAGCGGGGGGCCTGCTGTGACAGGGCCCAGGGCAGTGGGCAGGTGGCAGCATATTGTGAAAAGAAGTCATTGCGAGTGACAAGAAGTATGTCAGACCCCAGGAAACCGCTGTCGGTGCTGGTGCTCCCTTCCCTGGGCTGGCGCTCACATCTCCACGGTGGCTGTGGCATCAGCTCATTCCTCGGTGGCTAAAGCTCTCTGGTGGAAATAAGATGGGGGCCTTGAAGTCAAACTCGAGTATAACCTCGAGTCTCTGTCCTCGTCATCATCCTTCTTAGCACGATGTGCTGATTTTGTCTGGCACCACCTGTCGCAGTTGCCACATCACCTGTGCTGAATGACGGAGCAGAGCCCAGCTCAGTGAGGGGTACAGGTGAGTGAGGACCAATGGGGTGACGGCTCCAGGCTGTGCCCTGTGTTTGTTGTGAGGGGTACAGGCGAGTGAGGACCGATGGGGTGACGGCTCCAGGCCGTGTCCTGTGTTTGTTGTGAGGGGTACAGGCGAGTGAGGACCGATGGGGTGACGGCTCCGGGCCGTGTCCTGGGTTTGTTGTGGGGATACAGGCGAGTGAGGACCGATGGGGTGACGGCTCCGGGCCGTGTCCTGGGTTTGTTGTGGGGATACAGGCGAGTGAGGACCAATGGGGTGACGGCGCCGGGCCGTGTCCTGTGTTTGTTGTGAGGGTACAGGCGAGTGAGGACCAATGGGGTGACGGCTCCGGGCCGTGTCCTGGGTTTGTTGTGGGGATACAGGCGAGTGAGGACCGATGGGGTGACGGCTCCGGGCCGTGTCCTGGGTTTGTTGTGGGGATACAGGCGAGTGAGGACCGATGGGGTGACGGCGCCGGGCCGTGTCCTGTGTTTGTTGTGAGGGTACAGGCGAGTGAGGACCAATGGGGTGACGGCTCCGGGCCGTGTCCTGGGTTTGTTGTGGGGAT